GTTGTTGTTGTTGTTGTTGTTGTTGTTGTTGTTGTTGTTGTTGTTGTGGTTGTTGTTGCTGTTGTTGTTGTTGTTGTTGTTGTTGTTGTTGTTGTTGTTGCTTTTATTTATATTTTTCGGCCTCTGGGGGCCCCTGCTGGACCAAGAGAGACGGCTCGTTATGAGAAACTGGTCCCAGAGAATGGGTCACGACCCCCAGAGGTCCGTCGTTTTTTTTTGAACAGGGGATTTCCCGAAATTTTCACCCAGTCCTGGGAACTGGTCGTTCTCCCTGCGTATGTTTGGCCGGTCCAGGGCCTGGCGAGGGTTTTTCTAGAGGTCGAACATGTTGACAAAAACCTGCGTCGAGAATTTGTTTAGTGCGTTGGGTGTCTGGGCCTCCAGGGAGCCATGTCGTGAAAACGATTCTGACGTCGGAAGTTCTGGGCTGCAAGGCGTTTTCGATGGTCCCCGGCGGCCGCGCCTCGCTGGGAGCGCTCCGGAAGGGACCGGAGCGTCGGCCCAGAAACGGCCACCCGAGACCCGAGAAATGACCAGAAAGCCGATGGCGAGTGCCGTGGCGATCGTCGGGGCCCACGGGATGCAGGATGATGGTTCAGAAGTTGCCAGGGGTCGTGTTCACGCGGCGGCGCCCATGATGATGATTCGAAAAACGGCCCCCCAGGCCGGGAAACGAATTCTTCATTGTTCCCTCCCGCCCTCTTCTGGCGCTAGCCTGGACAGGTCGACGGGCCAGGCGGAGCCGAAGCGAAGCGGAAGCCGAAGAGTTGCCAATCATTATTTCTCTTCATCTTGTATTGAGGGGAGTCAGCCAATCGAAGAGTACGAATAATGCCAATAAGTTTGGCCAGCGTGCACCCCGACAGTGTTTCTAGCAATACATGTTGTGCAATCCGTATGGATAAATATATGTGGTGCAATCTATGTGGTATGATATCTGTTGTGCAGCTTGTGCAATCTATGTGGTGCAATCTGTGTTTTGCGATCTATTCTGTGCAATCTATGCTTTGTTATCCATGATGTGCTATCTATGCTGTGCAATATTTGCGGTGCAAGCTACTGAGTGCAATCTATGTTGTGCGTTCTATGCTGTGCAATGTAAGTTGTGTATTCTACGTGGTGTAATATATATGGTGTGATTTATGCGGTGCGGTGTATGTGGTGCAATCTTGTTGTGCAATCTATCTGGTAAAATTCAGCAGTGCTCGGAGTTAGTTGTTAACTCCACTGCTCGCGCAATCATCCCACCCACCCACCCACCCGCAGCTTGGTTTGCAAAACCCCTGCGGAGGCGATTGCGGTAAGTGCTTGGTGTTGGCTGGTGCATTTCTGTGGCCGCGATAGCCCGCGCATGTTCGCGCGCCCGCTAGTTTGGCGCGACGGACGCGTCCGCGGTGGCGTTGACAGCGGGGTACATCCCAGCGGGCTTTTCAGTGCGAGTCGGCGACTTGGGCGGGCGCGGTATCATGGCAACGTCGACAACGGTAGACACGATGATGATCGTAGCGATGCTGGTGGCGATGCTGACAACGACGACGGCACGGCCAGTGAGGGCGCCGATGCTGATCACGCTGGCGACGATGGTGGCGTCCTCGAGTCGATGATGAAGGTTTGGAAAGAGTTCGACATGCGCGCGCGGCCGACGCGCGAGAGTGGCCCGCATGGTTCCATTTGACACGGATCATGCCTCCAAGCGCGCGCGCAAGGGCTATCGAATGATTTCGACGCGTCGCAAGAGGTCCGTTTGACTGGATGCAATGAACATGTGGGGTCAATTCCATGGTTTGTTAAGGATTCGCAGGAGCGCGAGCGCAAGCTCTGAACATTGATGTTGCGAAACCATGTGCATCAAGTCATCGACATGCGCGCGCGACGACGCGCGCGTTTGAACGCCGCTCTCATTTTTTCAAGTTTCCTTTCGAAACCACGCGCGGAAAAAAAAGGCGTTCGACGATTTCGACGATGAACAGGTTTAAACCTTGGTGGTTTCTTCAGCATGAAAGCGCGCAGGTTTTCATAAAAAAATAAAAAAAACGGTGTTGAACACCTTCGTTGCGAAGCCATGTTTGTTTGACCCGTTACCGGGGCGACCGATTTTGAAATCCTTGCGACGCTTCAGGTTTTTTTAGAGATTTCGGTATGCACGCGCGACGACGCGCGCGTGTGCACTTCGTGCCGTTTTTTCTGGGGGGTGGGGCGAGGGGTTCCTGAAACTGAATGGTTTCTGCACAACGAGTGTGCGCGCATAGTTTGTTGCGATGTGGGGAACCGGTGTGGGGTGACACGAAATCATGTTTACGATGGACGATGGGGCACAATCGTATGCAAATTGCAATGCGAAAAAAAATCGGTTCAGTCGGGGGGCGGGGGGGTAGATCCCTCTTTTCTTTTGAGAAAAACATATGTGCGATGTGATCCCTGTCGTGCAATCAATGCCGTGCAATGTTTGTGGTGCGTCCGACGTGGCGCAATCAATGTGGTGCGACATCCGTGGCGCAATCCACGAGGTGCAATCTTTGTGGTGCAATTATGTGAGGCCGCAACGAGGCGGCGACAGCGACACCATAACCGCCAAACCAGCACTCAGGCCCAGACGACGGGCGGCGACGAGGCTGTGACAGGGCGGCGACGGCGACAGCATAACCGCCAGACCGACAATCAGGCCCCGTTTCGCACAAAAGAAGTAGGAACCTCTCAGTGCAAGCACTGTTCGGGAAAGAAGGATATTATTATCTAGATCGCTAGCAGGAGCAGTTCTAATAAGACGCGACATGATAGTAGAAACAATATTGCGTGTATTACTAATGATTTGAACACTACGGGCGGGACGAAGGCTATGAACCGTGATGCCAATATTGATAGCAGCGAGGACACTAATATTCGTAATTGTATGATATCTTCTCTTGGTAAGACGACTGGTGAAATAATATGAGAAGCATTCTAGTGAGAAGAACAAGAGGGCGGCTGTTAATTGTGTAACACATTTGTTTTCGAAGGTCCGCGAGGATTTCTTGGGTCGGCGCTGATAGGCCATGGCGGCGCTTCCGGCGCCATACCTGTGGCGCTCCGCGCGCCAGGGGACGGGGGTCCAGCGCCGATCCAAGAAATTTTCTTGGACGTCCGAATGTTTATGTTTATGTATATTGTCCTTTTTCTTGCCGATCCCCTCTGATATTCTCTGGCTGCCCTGGGTCCGGGAGGCACGGTGGGTCTGGCTCTCCTCCCGCTCCTTCCGCTGACGCGGGCCGGCCAGTGTTCGCGACATGGACTTGGCTGACCCGGGTCAGCGAGTCCCCGAGGTCGTACTGGCGACGGAGGGGAAGCCGCAGGTCATCTTGGCGGCGGACGCGCAGCAGGACGTGGGTGAGATCCGCGCCTCTCTGCTTTAGTCAAGACGTCAAGACATTGGAGTATCTGTTGGCGCGCGAAGATCCGCTTGATGTATATCTTCTGCCATCTGGGGCGCCTGTGCCAGGGCGGCTGGTAATTTTGCATCCCGACGTGCAACCATGGGGGTCAAGCTTTCCAGCGACCCTGGCACTGGCGCCTCCGATGGCGAATCTTTTCATTTAGTACAGATCTTCGTCCGCTGAATCGGGGCGTACGGGGAGGAATATTGGGAACGGGGTGTGTGATGTCTTTTTCTGGCGCATGTGGGGGGGTACTCTGGAGGCCATCTGGAAATTCCTGGAACTATTGGGGACGCCTGAGCGACGAAAGGAACGGGGTCGACTGCGTGGACACTCGCGCGTAAGCTTCTCGCGTAAGATGGCGCGTCAGCGCCCTCGTTTCCAATGCAGCGTGGCGCGCTGGCGGCCCGCGTGAGCCACCGCTCAAGGTCGCCATGCCATCGTGCATAAGACCCGATGCTGATCGCCGCCCACCTTGGGCCAGGGACAGCTCTGGCAACGCCCGACTCCGCCTCCCCCCCCCCTCTCCCGCCCACCCCACTCCTCTCCACTCCGCTCCGCTCCGTTCCACGCCACGCCACGCCACTCCACGCCACTCCACTCCGCTCCGCTCCGCTCCGCTCCACTCCGCCCCTCCTGCGCCCCCCCTCCACCCTCCTCTCCTCGCTCCCCCACCCCCGCCACTCCCCCGCCGTCCCTCCTCTGCCCCCCCCCCGCCTCCGCTCGCCCGCGCCCTCCCCGCCCCGGCTCGACGAGCCCCCGCAGCTTCTCTCGGCCCCGAGCCGCCTTGGCCGCGAGCCGAGGCCCGCGCGAGGAGGCCCGCGCGCCGCCGAACGCGCGCTCCTCGGGGCCCCGCCGCGCCCCCCCCCCCCCCCCCCCCTCCGCGGGCGATGGCCGCCGCGCCGGCGGAGCCCGACTGGATCCAGCACGGGGGGTTGCTAGCAGTGCCGCTGGTCGGAGGCGGACAGAGCCTAGGGGGCCACAGGCGAACCCTACCCCCGCCCCCCACGATTTCTGAGGGGGAGGGTGGGGGGTAGGGGTAGGGTTCGCATGTGGCCCCTAGGAGCCCCCACCCCGACACGTCGATAGGTGAACCGTCCGTTTTCGGTCCTCGAGAGGGCGCCGCGGCCGTCCTCTTCTCTCCAGGCCTGCGCCCGCCGGGTTTGGGCCCGGGGTCGTTTTCACGCAAGCACGTTTTGCTACAGGGGGGTCTGTCCATCCCTGAGCTGGCCCAAGGTGCCCCAGGGTTTCCACGGAGGCCCCCATGGTCTCTGCCGGGGAGACGTGAGACTCGCGTACGCTGGAACTCGGGTCTGCCGACGTTCCTGGCCGAGCGCGCCCTGGATTCGGACGGTCCGGTTTTCATGGGATGTTTGCAGCGTGAGCTCGCGTCAAATTTCAGATTGCGTCTCGTCGCTTTCGTGATGGCTCCGTCAGGCCAGCCCGAGTCCCCCGTGCCCGAGTCTTGCGTCTCCCCCGACTCTGGAGAGCACTCCTCCCGAGGCCCAGGGAGCCCCAGGTGCTCGAAAACGCAGCGAAGAGCTGGGGATACGCCTCGGGCCAGGGGCACCTCGAGCAACCTCCGACCAGCAGGCGTGCCGGACGCTCACGGTGCGGCAGTTCTGCCGCGAGGCGGCGGGGGCGCTGCAGCGCTGCTCGCGCGAGAGCGGCGGCCGGCGCGACGCCTGCCAGCCGGAGGGGCACAGGTTCGAGGTCTGCGCGAACGAGGCCTGGAGCCAGCCGGGGGGCTGAGGTGGCCCACGAGTGGCTCCTGCCAGCAGAAGTCGACGACGAGAAAACGCCACAAGCGTCAACTTTTGGGGCTCCTCGCGGATTTCTTGGATCCGTGCTGGGGCCCCCTCGGCGGCGCTTCCGGCGCCGCCCCTGGCGCGCTCCAAGGAAGGATGGATGATGGGGCCCCCTCGTCGCCACGGCTGGACGCGGCTCGAAAAACTAGCCAGGGTCGACCTTGTGGGGGGATTTGGGGACCGATTTTGGAAGACTTTCCGCCGTCTTCTCCTCTTCACCGATGTTCTCTGGGCTTACAGTCAGCACTGATAGTAAGGATGAGCGGCTTTCCAAGGTTTCCCCTGTATCCTTTCCCGCGGCCGATGCTTGGCCACTTTCGTTGACCGCGCCCCTGCTGGAGAAATGTCGGCAATGCCTTTCAAGCGGGAGGGAAAACCACCCCGACCCCGATCATTGGCGTTTACCAGACGGTCCTGGGCGTTTACTGGACAGCCCTGCCCTGTTCGATTCCTTCCTTGGGTGCGTTCACCAAACGGCTTCGCTTGTCGGGGTGCTCATTATGAGGGTGGACCTTCTGCTTTCGATTGCATCCTTGTCGTGCGTCCTTACTATCAGTTTTGCCTGCACCCGGCTCGGAGACTCCCTGGCCGCCTCCGACACAAGGCCATGCCAGAGGTGATCAGGGCCATCATGGCCTCGGCCTCGCGGCGGTGCCCCGCGGAGGTGGCGAGCTTCCAGCGCTGCGCCCGCGAGCGGGGCTCGGAGGAGCTCTGCGAGGCGGCGGGGCAACACGCTCGGGGGGTGGGCAGCCGACACAACAATGTGTACACAAACACATTCCAATCATCGAGGACAGGGTAAGACGTGGTCTCACGGAGGTCCCCGTCTTTGCATTACGGTTTGGCTTGGTACATTTGCAGAAAAGACACCGCATCCCTGATGCTTTTGGCCCTCCTTAACTACTTAGGTCCCCTACCAAAGGGTTAAGAGTCCTTTTATCAATCATCTAATGGATTGTTCCTGGGCCTCAGGGTAGGGTGGCGGGGTATACGTCAACACTGAGAGCCAGGGACTTTATAAACCGCCGTCCTCCCTGAATGTACATGCCGAATTCGTCGGTGTGTGTGTGTGTATATGTGTACATGTATGACCAACATATGTACGTATACATAAACGGCGCACCGGGCTCGGGGGCCGAGGGCCGGAACCTCGACCGCAAATGTGGGTGCCGGGGACCCGGCCGGACCTTGGGGGGCCTAAAATCGCCTCGGAGGGCGGTCCGATGAGCGTCACGGCGGCCCCAGCCAACCGCCCACCACCCTGAAGACGGCTTCAACGGATCACGGGACGTCTCTAACGGCCCCGGAGGCTTCGAAGGAGCTTCTTAACCCGTGCAATTTGCCCCCCACGAGGGCCCCGAGAGGCAAGGAATAGCCCCATTCCTAACGTGAAACGTACGCTTTTACCGTATTCGTGTTTTTCGTCTTCGCACCATCCTCGACGACCTCAGGGGCCCCTAAGATCGCCCCTGCACGGCCCAAGAGGACCCCCAGAGAGCGCCAAGACGGCCCAAGAGGGTCCCAGGCCAGTCCCAGAGGCACCCAAGAAGCCCCCAACGGCCTCCCAGAGGGCTCCTAGAGGAGCCCAAGATGGGGCAATCCAGCTGGAATTGCCAGCCCCACGCTCCAAGAGGACCCCAGAGACCCCCAAGAGGCCCCTAAGCAGCCAACACGAGGCCTCCAAGACGCTTCATAACCCCTGCAATTTGGTGTTTTCCAGGGTTTTGAAGGTTTTTCGTGTTATCTCTGTTTCGTGTTTCCGACAGTCCAAGACAGCCCACAAGGCCCCAGAAATCAGTTCCACACGGCCCAAGAGGCACCCAAAGAGGGCGCCACGACGGCGTAAAAGAGCCCCAAGACGGCCCAAGAGCGCCCCAAGACGGCCCACGAGGCGCCCAAGATCGCCCAAGAGGGCCCCAAGACGGCCCCAAGAGGGGCCCAAGAGGGGGAACACGAACTGACAATTCGAGCCTTCCGCCCCAAGTGGCCTCCAGGAGGCCCCAAGAGGCCCCCAACAGAGCCCAAGATGCCTCCCAGAGGCCCCCTAGATGCTCCATGAGGCTCCAAGAGGCCCTAAAGGAGGCCCCAAGAGCACCCCAAACTGCCCCCAAGAGACCTCCCAAACATACCGGTGTATAGCAAAGGACCGCCTAGCCTCCGTGGCATCGCAGCGTTGCATGACATGACATGGCACGGCACAGCACGACAGAGCTAACCGTGTCAGTGCATATCACAGAATGATATGATTCAGCATGCCATAGCATTGCATTCCATAGCAGTGTGCAGCTGAGCCTAGCACTGCACGTTACGACGTAACATTGCCTAGCATGGCATTGCATCTCATGACATGTCGTGTCGTACTATGGCATTCCGATGCGCATGCATTAATCGAACAACACCCTATTGCTCTGCGCAGCAGTAAACAGAAACCATGTAAATCTCACACCCCCATTGTTACTCTTACTGTCGTCCTGTTTATTTTAGCCGAGCAGCTCATAACATGGCATAGCCATGCATTGCATAGCATAGCACGGTATGCCGTGTCTGTGCAAACCATGTAACGCGGTAGCATCGCTCTTCACAGAAAACATCGTATGATATGGTTCAGCGTATCATTATATATTGCCATAGCATTCCGCAGCACAGCATGGCACGGCATGCAATGCGCATTGTAGGGTATCTCATGTTCTTGCATTGCATACTGCATAGTGACATCGCGCTTTACAGCGTAGCATGGTGTATCATGGCATTCCGTAGCATAGTGCAACATGGCGCTGTAGCGCTGATTTTTTTCTGGCCCATAGCTTGGCGACAGATCACTGGTCGACCGGTCGATGAGAGCGGAGGAGGAGGAGGAGGAATGAGGAGGAGGCAGGAGGAAACAGATAATGTTGACCTGCATCTGCATCTAAGGGGTAAATCGACCAGCAGGGCCCAGGCCACGCCAGTGGGGATAGGGATCGGTTAAACGATGCTCAGTTTGCCTCCTGCTGCTCCTCGAGCCGACGGTCGGGGAGGGCGTTGTCGGCGCGCGCTCCGTGGGCTCGGAGGAGCAATGCTTTGTGGTGCAGAGTGCCGCGAGGGTCGATCCTAGCCGCAGGGGAAAAGTACGGCTGTTTTTCTGCAGATTTGCACGTGCGGGCTCCTTGACACGAGTTTCATTGATTGCCCCAACTGCTCCGCAGCCATGCTCCTTCACGTACTAACATTTTGCGTTTTGGTAGTCTGGGACCGTTCCTGGTGATTCGGCTTACTTAGACCGACCAGCAGGGCCGAGGCCACGCCAGTGGGGATAGGAATCGGTTGAACGGTGCTCAGTTTGCCACGCCCGGCGGGTGGCGCCAAGAAACGTCAAAGGGGGCCCAGAGACGTTCAAGAGGGCGCCAAGATGGCCCAAGAGCGCTCCAAGAGAGCCCAAGACCGCACAAGAGCGTTTCAAAATTGGTCTAACATGGCTTGGATAGAGCCGAAGAGGGCTTCAAGACGGCTAAGATGTTCTCGCTGTTTCGTGCTTCGGACGGTCCAAGACAGCCCACGAGGCCCCAGAAATCAGTCCAAGGCGGCCCAACAGGCACCCAAAGGGGGCGCCACGACGGCGCAAGAGAGCCCCAAGACGGCCCAAGAGTGCCCCAAGACGGCCCAAGAGGAGCCCAAGATCGCCCAAGACGGCCCCAAGACGGCCCCAAGAGGGGCCCAAGAGGGGGAACAGGAACCGAGAATTCGAGACTCTGCCAATAGAGGCCTCCAGGAGGCCCCAAGAGGCCCCCAACAGAGTCCAAGAGGCCCCCTAGAGGCCCCCACGAGGCCCCAAAGGGACCCACAAAGATGCCCCACAAGCACCCCAAACGGCCCCCAAGAGGCCTCCAAAATTGCCTTCAAGATGCCCCCGGGAAGCCTCTCACGAATTCCAAACAAGCTTCGAAGAGGCCTCTAACTCATAACCCAGGCACGGTGGCGGGATGGGCCGAAGGTCACTATCGGGAACGTGAAACGAGAACCCGAGATCTTCGCCCCAGGAGACCCCCAGGAGGGGTCGAGAGGTCCCCAAGAAGCTTGGCGACAGATCACCTGTCGACTGGTCGATGAGGGCGGAGGAGGAGGAATGAGGAAGAGGCAGGAGGAGAGAGATAAGGTTGATTTCATTATTCATGACCGCCATATTGTCTCAATGCGGTCAGCGCTCGACCAGCTAGAACCTTAAGCGCGCGCGAAGCGCGCGTGATGGTTATAGTATACATATTTAATCATATGCAGATGTGCACATGTGCTCGCATGGCTACAGACTATACGTATGTATGCATACATGCATGCATGCATGTATGTATGCGTGCATGTATGTATGTATGTATGCATGCATGCATGCATGCATGTATGTATGTATGTATGTATACATGTATGCATGTAGGTATGCATAGATGCATGTATGTATGCATGCATGTATGTATGCATGTATGCATGTATGTATGTATGCATGTATGCATGTATGCATGTATAGTTGTATGATTGTATGCATGTAATGTAATGTAATGTATTGTAATGCGATGTAATGTAATATAATGGAATGTACGGTACTGTAATGTAATGTAATGTAACGTGTAATGTATGTATGTATGTACGTATGTATATATGCATGTATGCATGTATGTATACATGCATGCATGCATGCATGCATTTATGCATGTACGTATTTATGTATGTATGTATGTATGTAGGTAGGTAGGTAGGTAGGTAGGTATGTTTGTATGTATGTATGCATGTCTGCATGCATGCATGTATGTATGCATGCATGCATGCATGCATGCATGCATGTATGTATGTATGTATGTATGTATGCATGTATGTATGTATGTTATGTATGTATGTATGTATGTATGTATGTATGTATGTATGTATGTATGCATGCATGCATGTATGTATGTATGTATGTATGTATGTATGTATGTATGTATGTGTATGTGTATGTGTATGTGTATGTGTATGTGTATGCGTATGCGTATGCGTATGTGTATGTGTATGTGTATGTGTATGTGTATGTGTATGTGTATGTGTATGTATTTATATATATATGCACATTTGTGTCGTAGGACGGGCTCATGGGGCATGCATCGGCCCCCATTCGCCCACGGGGGCTCGACAGCTCACACCGCCCAGCAACGCGCGGATTCGATATCGAGACCTGGCGCCAGCGTATCTGCGATGCATCGCCGATTCTAGCTCGATGTTTTACCCCGTGATCTGAGCTGGCCCCTCCGGAACGTTGCCCCTTGGAGGCGGAGGACCTGGCGGCCCTGGCCTGCGGGGCTCGCGCTATCGCCGCGCCCGCGCAAGCCGCGCAGTGACCCAGAGGAGGAGCAGGTGCCGACGCCGCTGCCCTCGCCTTGTTTTTCGTCTTGTCTGGGGCCTCCTGGGAGGCCCTCGTCGCCACGAATGGGTTCGCTTCGAAGCTCTGGTCACAACGCGCCCCAGGAGAGTCGGGTATAGCCATGACCCCAGGTAAGGGGACCCGGCTAGTAGTAGGGCCCCAGAGCCCGTAAATGGGCCAGAAACACTAAACCAGGTCTGCCGTAGGTGGTGTTTTTCGGGCGACGGCAGTTCTAGTCAGTGGAACGGGGCGGGGGGGGGGCGCCCCCACTGCACATCACTAGAGCAGGTCCCACTAGACCCGGTTCTGCCCACGCCCCGGGAGAGGTCCGGGGAGCAACGGCATCGGTACGACCGGCAGGATGGGCACGAGTAGGCCACACGCGAACCCTACCCCTACCCCCGACGATTTCTGAGGGGGAGGGTGGGGGGTAGGGGTAGGGCTCACATGAGGCCCCCTACCAGTTCTGCCCACGCCCCAGGAGAGGTTCGGGGAGCAACGGCATCGGTACGGCCGGCAGGATGGGCACGAGGACCGGCAGCAGAGCCGTCCATTCTGGGTATGTACGGTTCGCTGTCGGCGCCGCCGCGGGCGTCGGCCATGTGGGGCAGGATCCCGCCCGCCCAGGAGGCGGCCGCTGGCGATCTTCGACGGCATCTGCTGCTGGGCGCCGTGCCCATGTTTTATCTGGGGAGACGTAGGACTCGAGCAAGCCGGAGCTCGGGTTTGCCGAAGTCTCTTGACGAGCGCGTCCTGGGTTTGCTGGCCACGCGCAGAAGGGGGTAGGGGGAGGGGGGAAGGCTTCTTAGAAGCACCCCTGCTTCTTAGAAGGCGCGGGCCTTCTTTGTAGATGTAAGGCCGGCGCCTTCTAAGAAGCAGCCTCCTTCTAAGAAGCCTTTCCCCCTCCCCCTACCCCTTGTGCGCGCCGTCAAGTTTGGACGCTCCGGTTATCTTGGGACGTCAGCAGCGGGAGATCGCGTCAAATTTCAGAGTGGGTCTGACCATTTTCATGATGACCCCGTCAGGCCAACCCGAGTCGAGTCCCTCGTACCCGCGCCCTTCGTCCCCCTTGAATTTAGGGGGTGAGCCGTTTTGGGACACTCTTGGGGCATTCTTGGGCCGTCTTGCGGCCACCTTGGGGCATCCTTGGGCCGTCGGGGGTTGCCGAAAGCTCGACGGGACGAGCACGTCGAAATCCTCCCAGCACCCACTGTGAAATCTAGGACTTTCCTGAGCCCGAGCCTGACGTCTCCCCGATTGATCTGCACCCACGCCGGGCGCCCGGAGCGCAGCGGCGCCCAGAGCGCCAGCCGCGCGGGGGCTCCGCGCGGCCGAGCGCCGCCGCCCTGCGGAGGGCGCCGCTGCGGGCGGCCCCCCTCCGCGGGGGGCTTCCGCGCGGCCGGGCGGCGGGGCGGCGGCCGACCTCGCTGCGGGCGCGCGCGCGCGGGCGTGGCGGCGGCGCCTCCGGGGCGCCCAGGCGGCCTGGCGGCCCGTCGGTGGCCCCCGGGCTGGCGCTAAGTCGGGCCTGTCCTTCTACAGGAGGGATGCGCAAACATAGTACAAGAGTTAGCCTGGGACGGTATTTGATATTTGTATATATATATATGTTTATATATCTATACAGATATGTGAGTATGTGTGTTGGCTTATTTTTGAGTATGCGACTATATTTAGGAATACATAATATATATATATATATCTATATATATTTGTATATGTATATATATATTGTACATATTATATAGGTGTCTGCATGTATGGATGTATGTATGTATGTAGGTCGACCAGTCGATAAGTAGATAGGTAGGTAGGTATGCGTGCATGCATGTCTGCATGCATGCATGCATGCAGGCATGCATGTATGTAGATAGGCATGTGTGTGTATGTGTATGTGTATGTATGTATGTATGTATGCATGTATGTATGTATGTATGTATGTATGTATGTATGTATGTATGGATGTATGTATGCATGCATGCATGCATGCATGCATGTACGTATGTATGCATGCATGCATGCATGCATGCATGCATGTCTGTCTGTATGTATGTATGTATGTATGTACGTATGTATGTATATGTGCATGCATGCATGCATGCATGTAGGTAGGTATGTGCGTGTATGTATGTATGTATGCATGCATGCATGCATGAATGTATGTATGCATGCATGCACGTGTGTATGTATGTGTGTAGGTATGCATGTATGCATGCATGTAATGTAATGCAATCTAATATATTGTACTGTACTGTTATGCAATGTAGTGTAGAGTAATGTAATATAACGTAAGGTATGTATGTATGTATGTACGTATGCATGCATGTATGTATGTATGTATGTATGTATGTATGTATGCATGCATGTATGTATGTATGTATGTATGTATGTACGCATGTATGTATGCATGTATGTATGTAGGTAGGTATGCATGCATATACTTATGTCTGTATGCCTGTATGTCTGTATGTCTGTATGTCTGTATGTCTGTATGTCTGTATGTCTGTATGTCTGTATGCCTGTCTGCCTGTATGCATGTTGTATGTATATATGTATGTATGTATGTATGTATGTATGTATGTATGTATATATATATATATGTAATAAACATCCGCCTGTAGGGGGACGTGCCCGATCCAAGTCTCGCCGTCGCGGGCCTTCGGGCACACGGGGGCTCACCGCCGCCACGGCCCGCTGGGAGGCGCCGGGGAAAGTGGTTGCGTGAGCTGGTCCGCTGGCCCCCACTTCGCTCCCCCCCGCTTCCGTCCGCCCCTCCCCCTCCCCCTCCCCCTCCTCCTCCTCCTCCTCCTCCTCCTCCTCCTCCTCCTCCTCCTCCTCCTCCATTCCTTTTCCTTATACATAACTTTCCCTGTCGCACCCCGAGGCCAGTTTTTAGGGTGGGCCGGGCGTGAGCTGATCCGCTGACATCCGGTTCGCTCCCCCCCCCGCTTCCGTCCGCCCCTCCCCCTCCTCCTCAGCATCGCGGTTGTGCCGTTCCCGTCGTCGACGTTCCAGGTTGTCCGGAATGAGCGGCGCGCCGTGCACGTCGTGCTCGAGCAATCGCGTACCCACCCTCAAGATATCAGCGAGTTCGGACGCCTGGCAAGTGGCCAACGATTGGAACGTGCCGGCGTCGCTTCCAGTGCGAAGGGCGTGCGGGGGGCGGGGGGGGGTGCCGACTCGCTCGAGCTGCCTGCCCGGACTCCTCTCCCGCCTCCCGCTGCTTCGGCTCCTCCGGCTCCTCCTGCTCCTGCTGCTCCTGCTGCTGCTGCTCCTGCCGCGACTCCTGCTCCCGCTCCCCTCCCCGAGTCCTGGGCGCTGCATCGTTCAGGAGGGAGCAAAAATCACACCGACACAATGAATCGTCGATGTCCCAGAGAATATGGGAAAATATGGGCAGTGGGGGGGAAGACGAAAACCCAGAACATATGGGAAAACATGGGGGATCCTTTTATTTGTGTGTATTTATCTGTGTGTCCCAGGGCCCCTTTAATCGTGTGGCTCCCCCGAGGTCTGGGCCCCTTCCCTGGGGCCGGCCCCTGGCCCCGAGCCGCCGGCCGCGGGGCCCCCTTGCGAGGGCCGCCGCGAAGGGCTGGAGAGGCTCCACGTCTCTGTGGGGGGCCCCCCTGCCGGCCAGCGGCGGGATGGGTGGTGGGTGCGCCCCCAGGGGCTGGGGTTAAGTCGGGCCTGTCCCCCTACAGGGGAATTGTCGACGAAAAGTAAAACATACCCCCCAAATAGTCCCAAAATAGTCCAAACATAGTCTCTTTTTGTCTCTTTTTTATACTCTTTTTTTTTTTGTCGAATATCCCCCTGTAGGGGGACACGCCCGACATAAGGCTAGGGCTTTTGACGGAGGCAGACCTCGGACGATCCCATGGGTTCAGTCCGGGCGTGTTCCCTCGATCTGGGGCCCCGGGGCCGTCCTCGGGCCCCGAGGCCATCACGACTGGGTCGGGGAAGCAGAGCTGCCCCCGAGAGCAGGGTCGGCGTCGCCAGGGAACGAAGGCAGGACAAAGGTCCGCGTTCCCTCTTTCTTGCTTTCAGCATTCTGGCTTGGCCCCCTGGCGGGGGGGGGGGGCCCTCGTCGCCATCGCCTGGTTCGCCGCGGAGTCTCTCGGTCAGAGCGCACCCCGGGAGAGGTCTGGGGAGTAGCGGTATCGGCATTTCTTAGGTCGCCCAACTTCGCGCATAGCGCCCCGCGATGCGCGACGCGCGACGCGCGGATACAGTCAACGCGCATAGTAGGGACGCTCGCCTTTTCTAGGGTACCCTTGCGTCCTTGCCACTGCGGCCCGTCCTTTGCTGTTTTCACTGGTCGCCCGTCGCCCAAAAATCCTAAGTTCGGCCTCCAAGGGTCTTGCGTCCTTACCACCCATTCCTAAGCTATGTTTCCACTAGATCTTCAGGCCGCCGTTCGGGACGATTGGGGCACCCCCAGGACGCTCTCGGCGAGGCGCAGCTGCCGAACAGCATGCCGAGGCTGGAAGAGCTCCTCGCAGCACGCGAGCACGCCCTCGAGCCTCGAGCCTGGGACGCCTCGAGGCACACGGACCCCTTCCGAAGCAGGCCCGAGGCCGGAGGTCGTCCGAGGGAACCGGCGAAGGCGCTGGGAGCGCGCGCGCGCCACAGGACGAGGGCAGCGACGAGGAGGAGGGCGCCGAGGAAGTTCCCGACAGGCGCCCTGCCGGCGGGGGCGGGGCGGCTGCCCCTGCGACGGGCTGGGGGGCGCCGCCGCACGGGCTGGCCGTCTCTCGGTCCGCCTGGGAGGCCCCGTCGAAGGAGGCCCCGCGCAGAGGTTGTGCCGAGGGGTCCCTCCTCCTCCCCCGCCCCCTCCTCCTCCCCCTCCTCCTCCTCCTCCTCCTCCTCCTCCTCCTCCTCCTCCTCCTCCTCCCCCTCCTCCCCGTGGAGGTTTTGTCACAGCCCCTTGGAACATGACGTTTTGCACCGATTTTCCCGTGGAGTAGCAGGATGGAATCTGCTTAGAAATGGATCCGCCTCTACTGGAATCCTATTAGAGATGGGCCCACCTCGAATGGAATCTTTTTATATATGCATCCACCTCTGATAGAACCGCATTGCAGATGGATCCACTTCTCATAGAATCGCATTACAGATGGATCCACTTCAAAGAGAATCCTACTACATATGCGTCCACCTTCTATAGAATCCGATTAGGAATTGATCCCCCTTAATAAAATCCTATTACAGAAGAAGCCACCTCTAATATAATCCCATTAGAGATGGATCCACAACTAATGGCATCCCATCAGCGATGGATCCACCTCGAATGGAATCCTGGTGCGGATGGATCCACCTCTAATAAAATCCTTTTCGCAGATGAACCCACGTCGGATATAATCCCATTACATATGAGTCCACCTATAGTATAGTCCTATTAGCGATGGATCCACCTCTGATAGAATCCAATCAGACATGGATGCCCTTCTAATGGGCTCCAATTACAGATGGATCCACCTCTAATGGACTCCCATTGGATATGGTCCCACTCCCAATGGCATGCTATTGGAGATTGGTCCACCTTTAACATAATCCTATTACAAATGGTTCTACCTCGAATGGAATCCTAGGAATCCTATAAAAGATGGATCCACCTCTGATAGAATCCGATTGGAGATGAATCCACCTCTAATGGAATCCTAGTGCGGATGGATCCATCCCCAACAAAACCCTATGACAAATGGACCCACTTCTAATACGATCCTATTACATGTGGATCCACCTCTGATAGAATCCTATTAGGGATGTGTCCACCTACCTATGATGGAGTCCTACAAGACATGGATCCACCTCTGATAGACTTCTATTACAGATGGATCCACCTCTAATAGGATCCTATTACAAACGGGTCCACCCCAAATTCACTCCTACCACATATGGATCCACCTCTAATAGAATCCTAATACAGATGGGTCCACCCCTGATAGAATCCCATTGCGGATGGATCCACATCTGATCGAATCCTGTTACACATGGATCCATCCTTAATGGAATCCGACCACAGCTGGATCCACAATTAATGGAATCCGATGAAAGATGGGCCCGCCTTAAATGAAAACCTATCACAGATGGATCCATTTCAAATGGGATCCTAACAGAGATGGGTCCACCTCTAATAGAATCCTGCTGCACATGGCTCCACCTTTAATAGAATCCTATTAGAGATGGACCCACCTCTAACGGAACTTTATTGCATATGGACCCACTTCTAATATTTTTTTTATCGGGATGGACCCACTTCTAATACAATTTTTTTAAGGATGGGTCCACCTGTAATGGGATCCGATTAGAGATGGATTCACTTGTAATTGAATCCTATCTGAGATGGACCCACCTCTAGTGGAATCCTATTAACGATGGGTCCACTTCTTAAGAAAATCCCATTGCATATGGATCCACATCTAACAGAATCCGATGCGAGATGGATCCACCTCTCAGGGAATCCTAGTAGCGATTGACCAACCATTTACATCCCCTCCTACAGCAGTTTTTCTTTTGTGGCGGATTACAAATTGAAGCCTTTTGTGGCAAAGTATAAGTTGTTTCTTTTTGTGCTGGATTACACATAGATTCCTCTTGTTGCGAATTACAGAATAGTTTTGTTTGTGGCGGATTACAAATTGATTCCTTTTGTGGCGGATTTCAAATAGATTCCTTTTGTGGCGAATTACAATTTGTTTCTTTTTGTGGCGAATGACAAATTAATTTTGTTTGGGGCGGATTACACATTGATTCCTTTTGTGGCAGGTTACACATATAATTCTTTTGTGGCGGATTTCACATTGATTCCTTTTGTGGTGGATTACAAGTTGATTCCTTTTGTGGCGGATTACACATGGATTCCTTTTGTGGCGGATTACAAATTGATTCCTTTTGTGGCGGATTACAAATTAATTCATTTGTGGCGGATTAAATATTGATTCCCCTTGTTGCGGATTACAAATTGATTCCTTCTGTGGCGGATTACACAAAGAATCTTTTTGTGGCGAATTACAAACTGATTACTTAGGTGGCAAGCCCAGCTGGTAGTGACCCAGGTCCCAACAGAAAAAAAAACGAAACATTGAAAATTCTGGAAATTATGCGACTCTCAATCGTTTTGGAGGTTTGGGACCAGAAACATATATAAACCACAACATTTCCTACCTCCTGGGAGCCCACACGTATAAAAACATAGCATTTTCATACATCAGGTCGCCCAAATGCTGTGGTTTAAATGATTTGGGCTCCTAGGAGGTGGGGCATGCTGTGTTTTTTATATGTTTTTGGTTCCGAACCTCAAAAACGATTGAGAGTGGTATAATTTCCACAATTTTCAATGATTTATTGTTTTTAATATTTTTCTTTTGGGACCTGGGTCACTACCAGCTGGGCTTGCCACAAAAGTAATCAATTTGTACGTCGCCACAAAAAGATTCCTTGTGTAATCCGCCACAAAAGGAATCAATATTTAATCCGCCACAAATGGCATCATTGTGTAATCCACCACACAAGGAATCAATGTGTAATCCGCCACACAAGGAATTAATGTGTAATCTGCCACAAAAGGAATCAATTTGTAATCCGCCACAAAAGGAATCAATTTGAAATCCGCCACAAAAGGAATCAACTTGTAATCCGCCACAAAAGGAATCAAATTGGAATCCGCCACAAAGGGAATTTACTTGTAATCCGCAAAAAACTTATCTGATAATCTCCAAAAGCCGTCTGCGAGCCTTGTTCCAGGGAGGGGAGACAAAACTCTTACCCCTCCTCCCCCTCCTCCCTCTCCTCTTCCTCCCCCTCCTCCCCTCCCCCTCTGCAGCCACCTCCCCCTTCTCCTCCTCCTCCTCCTCCTCCTCCTCTTCCTTCTTCTTCTTCTTCTTCTCCTCCTCCTCCTCCTCCCAGTCATCACTTTTTGTCACGGCGCATTTTTCGTCACGACATCGATCTTTCCGGGGGCGAGCAGGAGCGATTGTGAGGGGAGGAGGGGGGCAGGCAGACGGACAGGCATCCTGAGCGCTTGAAGACCTCGTTTTGGCCTGCTCTCGGTGCGTTCTTGACGCTCCGAACGCATTCGCCAGCACCCAGAAGTCCACGATCTGTTCGTACCAGAGTCGGCAGCATCCCAGGCGGAGTCCGGCAGCATCAGGCTGCGAGCGGCTCGGCACGGATCCTTCTCAGAGCGCTGCGAAGCGTGCGGCGCCAGTGTTCGAATAGGGGATCGACTACATAATGGATTTCTTGTTCCAGACTCGGTTGCTCCCCGCCGCATATACCAGAAACGCGTAGGATCTTCGTAGATCTACGGGACACCATAAGTACATGGTTCGTAGGTTCGGCGGGCAAATCCATTCTGGGGTAAGTCACTTCTGTAGTCGACCTCCCACTCGATGCGTGCGGATGACCACCCCACCGCACCTGCCGATGGCATCACGAGTGATCGCTTGGAGATGCGACATGGGTCTCAAATGCGAGGATATCGGCTGCGCGCCCAGGCAGGACATTCAGCGGGGGCGGGCCTTCCTCAGATGGCTCAGAAGGCCTCCTGGCCTGGCGAGAAGCTCTTGGCAGCGCTCGGACGTGTGCGCACTTCTGCCCGGCGAGGACCCTCGAGGAGCATCCTGGATCGTCTGGCAAAAAAAAACACGCACGAAGCCGAAGCATGCACGGGGAGGGGACGTCCGAGCGATGGCAGGAGCTTGCTGAGCCTTCTCCAGAGCCCCGCCGCCTTCTGGGAAGGCCTGCCCCCCTCTACCTTTTTTTCCCCCTCGGAGCCCCCCCCCCCGGTCTCGTCCCCATGGCGTCCACGCGCGGGGTCCGCGGCAGGTTGGTGCCGTGACGATTCCGAGGAGCGGGAGGAGGAGGAGGAGGAGGAGGAGGAGGAGAAGGAGGAGGAGGAGGAGGAGGAGGAGGAGGAGGAGAAGGAGGAGGAGGAGGAGGAATAGGAGGAGGAGGAGGGGGAGGAGCAGGAGGCGGAGGAGGAGGAGGACTGCTGCTGCTGCTGATGATGATACTGATGCTGCTGCTGCTGCTGATGATGATGATGGTGGTGGTGATGATGATGCTGATGCTGATGATGATGCTGCTGATGCTGATGAGGATGGGGCTGTTGATGCTGCTGATGGTGATGGCGATGTTGATGTTGATTCTGATGATGATGATGAGGATGCTGTTGAGGATGATGATGATGATGATGATGAGGATGATGATGATGCTGATGCTGATGCTGATGCTGATGCTGATGCTGCTTACTGATGCTGATGCTGATGATGCGGATGCTGATGAGGATGAGGATGAGTATGAGTATGTGTATGCGTATGAGTATGATGAGGGTGAGCATGAGGATGATGATGATGATGCTGATGATGACGATGCTGATGCTGATGCTGATGATGTTGATGATGATGATGATGATGATGATGATGATGATGATGATGATGATGATTAGGATGATGCGGATGCTGATGCTGCTGATGATAGTGCTGGTGATGCTGCTGATGATGCTGCTGATGAGGATGATGCTGCTGATGCTGATGCTGATGCTGATGATGCTGACTGTGATGTTGTTGATGCTGATGCTGCTGATGATAATGCTGGTGATGCTGATGCTGCTGGCGATGGTGATGATGATGGTGGTGGTGATGATGATGATGTTGCTGATGCTGATGCTGATACT